ATTATTAATTTCTTGAATAACTCTATGAAAGTAAAGAAGCATCAAAAGAAAAATTTATTATTTTTTTTGAATAGTTGCTTTTTGCAGAATTGCTTGATTATAAAATATTGTTTCGTTATTGATTCAAATTTTACTTTCCCAACAATTAATTTTGAAAATTGTTCTCGTAGAAAAATTTTCTGCTTTTTTTTGTTTTTTCTAAAGTTATGACATAATTTCATTTCTCCAAAGTGTTTTATGAAATAACTTCGTGTTATAATTTAGAAGAAGGAAAGATAAAAATTCTCAAAGTTTCACATATTAATAGAATTAAATAGGAAAAAAAGTGAAATAAATCTCAGCGATTAAATGCGCTATGAGGTGTTCCTTCGGAAAAATAAAAAATCTAACATTTAATTGCATTTCAATGATATTTACCAGCATTATCTGAAGCAAATTCGCAATTTAATCATGACATCAGCCTAATATAAAAAAATAGAAGAATTTCTAAGTTTTCAGATCATGTGAATTAGCAATAGCTAATTAAACTAAGTAATGAAGTTTAATTATTCAGTAACTCATTACAACATTTGAAAATTTAATAATTTCATTTCATGCTCAACACATTGAATATACTCATGCAAATTTTAATGCAAAACTGTTAATATCACCATTCAAAATTAATAGTAGAATATTAATCAAACAAACTAACACACAAACACTTATCTTCATGACAGCCATAAAGTTTTTAAATTGAAAGTATAATTTTCATTAAGCCAGAAAACATGTTTTGTTCACACTTCATTGGTCGCATAGTATTATTTATTAATTCTCTCCAAGCATGCTTTTAAAAGGAATTGAAAATAGAGATGTTATTTTAAAAAATAGAGATATGTATTAAGAAATTTTTTTTCAATTCACAAGTTTGTTTAAATTTTTTTAATTTGTCAAATATATTTTGAATTTTTTTTTGAATTACATTAGATTTTGTCTCCTATGCTATAAATTTTTGTTGAATAAATGAAAAACAACAAGAAACGGGGGTAATTTTAAAATTCTTGGAATCATTTTTAATAAATCTTATTTCATTAATTCATAATCTAAAATTTATTAAGCATCTATTTATTGTCTAGAAAAAAGCAAGCTTAAAAATTTTTTAATAATAATTTTAGTTCATCTCTTTTCTGGTCCTTGAAAACGGGCTGTTATAAGCTATGTTCTTGGAAGTCGTATCCTAGCTTTCATTTTAATTAATTGAAATCCGTGACACCTATTTATGCCTGCGAGAACAACTTTTCAGAGAAAAGTGATCATTAGAATAAATATCCAATTGTAAACTAAATGTCAGTTTAATTTTTGAAAACTCTTGCTGGCTCCTAAACGCTATTTTTAAAAATAGTTTTATTTTCTTCAGAAAGAACAAAGGGAATATCAATTGAAGAAATTTTCTTGAAATTTGAATGAAAATCATTTAGAGTAATCTGATTTATTACTATGGCAACTCATTATAGACCTATCTTTACTGCCATTAATAATCAATCACATTTGTGTCTCATTCCTTCTTTCTCATTTTTTAAATGACGCAAAAAATATCGTCAATTCATTTATGAGAGCTCAATTAGCTAAAATATTCTTATAGTACCAACGGCTATGAAAGCAAAACTATTGAAATTTAAATCAATATGCAGGTGCTGGAAATTTGTTTTATAGCTAACAAAATTTAGAAAGTAAACTTTAGATGGATGTTTTTCGATAAGAAAAATCGTTTACGATAACAAAAAGATTTTCGACGACAAAGCTGGCTGAAGAAAATACAACAGTCGGTTGAAAGCTTTTGAAATTTTATATTCAGAAAAATATCTTAATGGAAGATACTGATTCTGTTAAAAAAGTTAAGAAAGTGAAGTCGACTAAAGGTATGATAAAAGATAATTTCGACTAATATTATTATCAGTGGTAAGAGTTATAATTATTTTTTCTATCATAACAAATATTAAGTTTAATTTAATCTTATGAGTAATTTAATCCGAAGACATAAAACTCGACGTCTTTTTAAAATTCCATTCTAACTTTTTTCACAACAATTCAAGCCCAGTTATTTTCGCTCGCAACTCACAACTTTACATACCTAATATTTCCTGAATTCAGATAGAACCAAGAGATGGAAGAAACAAAGCCCAATAAACATCACAAATGATATAACCGATCAGGACAGCAATCTGAAAGCATCAAAGCTTAAATTTTCCTATACAATCGGTGATCTGAAAACAATTGAGGTTAAATGATGAACAAATACTTTAGTAATATTTTGCGATTTTTTATTTGATAATAAAGGGATTACAATTGTTGAATTCACTGTATTATTTCAGATTACTGGTGAAGGATTCTCATGCAAAACCAATGAAAGATGTACTTCAGGTAAATTTCATTCGGTTTTATATTGCAATTTAGAGAATGAAAATTCCTGAACAAATTGCTCAGTCAGCAAAATATAGAATGAGTCATTCAATAGTCTTTAATTTTTCTCTCAAAAAAGTAAGTGGAAATATTTTAATTTCAGAATTAACTGCGTCACATCTTCCAGATGTTTACAAACTTTGGGAATTTCATGCTCATTGGGGAACAGAGAAGCATTGCGGTAGTGAACACTTAATTAATGGGGAAGGCTTTTCCGCAGAGGTTGCCAATCATTTCAGTAAAGAGATAAAAATGAAACAAAAAAATTTTTAAAGCTTTTTCTTGTTCAATTTTATCAGCCAAGTTTGACCTCTAATCTTTACAGCTGCATTTTGTTTTTTGGAATAAAAAATACGGCGAATTTACAAAATGCTTAGACAAATATGATGGATTGACAGTATTGGCCATTTTCATGCAAGTTCGTTTATAATTTTTAATTTTGTTTATTCATTCCGGTATTTCTGTACTCATTTTATTGTTTTTAATTTCTATTCAAAAGAAGAAAGACTCAGACCCAGAATCCTAATAGCAATAAGGCAAAAGGTATTTGTATGTATTTGTATACACAGAAACATGACCTTTTAAAGGTAATTAAGGCATTCATTTTCAAATCGATTCAGGAAGACTCAACTGATAACGAAAATTTTTCGCCGATCATCGATGGTCTTTACAATTCATTAAGTTGCTTAAGCAGTGTCGATCCAAATCCAAAATTTAATCCACTTAAATTACTTCCAGGTTAAGTTCAAATATTTTTCTATATAAATTATTTTTTGAAATTATGTGTCTACAACAAATAAACAAAATTTATTGCTTGAAATTTAATTCTTAGAAAGGAATATATTATTCAGCATTTTAACTAATGATTACAATTTCAGCAAAACTTTCTTACTATTCGTATGAAGGATCGCTGACTTCGAAACCATTTCATGAATGTGTCATATGGACAATACTGAAACATTCCATTACTATAAGTTCCAATCAGGTAATTTTTCAACAAAAATAACATTATGGCGAGGTAATATTTGCCTAATTTTAATCCATGCTCTTTTTTGACTTCTCTTAAATCATTTCAAGAAAATCGAAAAGTTTTTTCAATGTCTATCATTATGACAATTTTTATTTATATATATTAATACTACAAAGTTATTTAGCAGAGAATTTCAAATTATATAACAAACGTTAAAGAGTTTAATATCTCATTGAAAATGATTATTAAATCTTCCGCATCTATTTGTAAGCAAAAAAATAAAAATCATTTTTTACAAACAGCTGGAATTATTACGGCGAATTGTTCCAAGAAATTGTCGATTTCAACATCCATTAAATGGACGTCGAGTGAAGCGCTCATTCAAATTTGTTAAAAAATCCTAATGTAATAAGCATTAATGTGAATTTTCGATATTTGAAATTATTATTATTTCTTGTTGATCAATCACTGATGATCATAAAGTAGTATTTTATGTAAGGATAAACGATTAAATCTATGTTAACCCTTGAATGCTGCTGATAAAATGTCAAGAAACATAAAAAGTGTCGCAATTAATTTACATTTCATTATTATGAATAGTAAATTATCTTTTTTATACAACTAAGAGAATAATCAGTTAGACAAATGATATTAAATATACGTTGACACTCTACCATACAGAACAACGTTTCTGAGGATTTAAGAAACTTCCCGGTGGACAATTAAAAGCTTTGCTAAATTCAGGTAAATTTGAAAGTGGACCGTTGACGCGGTACATAGCCGGGCTGTGCTCATTAGTAAGCACTTGCTTTATTTGGGCTTCTTTCGTCTGATGACTGCACCAAACCTGAAAATTATCTTTTCCTTTCCTTCTTTTTATTATCGGTAAGGATATTTAAAATTTCTCTTAGCATTTGTTACTTTCTTTTAAGGCTTCAATCTCTTGAGGAACCTTAAATGTCAAATGCTGCCATGAAATTTAAATTTGATGAAAATTGACCTATACAGTTCATTTAAATGAACATAATCTGTACTGCATTTGAATTATGCTGACCTGCGCAAATGAAAGAAAAAATATTTGGTCCTCGGTGAAATTTGACATGCCTGGTAGTCGAGGCTCTGAATGACCGATTTGTTCGATGTACTTTTTATATGCCTGCAAATAGCACTTAAACATATTAGTATAATGATATTTGCATTACAACAACATTGTATATGTTCAAATCCTAGCGGTAGAAAAGTTCAAAGACTGCTGAAACTAAGTAATTAGCGCTAATTTAACCTGATAGTAAATTATTAATTGGAAACTTAGTTCTTTTTTTTGATAGAAACAAAATACATACCCGAAATGATTGTTTGATACCGCTGTTGTCAGCAATATTTTCTCCTAATGTAAGCTTCCCATTTATCTACAAATGAGTAAACAAATATCTCACCAAATGCGCAAACTCAACGAATAATTTATTTCATCTCATTCTATCATTCTCGTCAAAAAATCATAATTTAGCAAAGATAATATAAACACTTTGAATTGTGGCGTCATATTTTCCTGAAAATTCGGCCATTCAAATCATTTGAAACTAATCAGCCACGATTACTGTCGGGGAAAAGCAAAATTATTTCTTAACTATAATCATTTAATTGTTTTAAAAAATTGTACAGTCAGATGATTGGCAATTTGAAAGAATTTCTTAAAGAAAGATTCACCATTTATAATGAACGTAAATAAGCTTTACATCGTTTCTTGTGACTAGCAAATTCTCGCCATAAAAACTATTCCATATCCGGATGTTCATTTAAATATTTCTTTCTCATGATTGTTCTTAACATCTGCTGGTTTATCCTTAACATTTCTCTTGGAAAACCATTCTTCTCCATACCCATCTTTGTAGCTAATCTAATTATTTCATAACATGCCCGTGATTCACATTCTGTTTAATCTGTTTAATTCACATCTGTTTAATTTAAATACACCCAAAAAATTTTCCAATAAATTTGGTTCAATTCTCTGCTTACCTTTATTTGATTCATTGTCGATTAATTAACTGTTTTCATAAACTTCTCGACTAAAATAAGTCTTTGCAAAAAGTTGTCTGTGGATCAGTAACTCAGTTAATTAATCGACAAATTCCTACTGAAAAAAAATGCAAAGATCTTTCCATCCGTCGAATCAATTATTAAGTGTTATTAGCGGTGATGAAACTCATTTTAAATTATATCGATGAATTATTCGTTTTTTGTTTCTTACCTTAAACTCTGTGTTTGGCACTTTGTATGATTCATACTGCTCAATGAAACACTGTGCTTTATTTTTAAAATTTTTGTATGATTCCTTACTCCACCAATTATTCAAATTACCATTCATATCATAAAGACTCCCTGAAATCATTTCATAACATCAAACTACAATTAATTGTTTGCAAGGAAAATAATCTTTAACGATAAACTAATATCAGCGCATAGTATCATCATGGATTTTTTTATGTCCTGACCAAAATTTTAGATACAAAACTGATCTCTTTGTTATTTAATCCTTCAAATAAAAAAAAGTGTGGAAGAAACTCTTCAACGATACTCTATCTGTTTTCAACCATTTTTTTTCTATAAATTACTAAATGAAATCTTTGAAATAATATACAAAATATTGAGTTATATTACATTATGCATTCTACAGCAAGGAAAAAAATTCGCATTTTAAGCAGTCAATTTCGATTGATAAAAAAAAATTTTGATAAGTCAATTTCAATAAAAAAAGTTGATAAAGTAACATTACTTAATAACTATACATCTGCTAAAGAAAATCAAAATGCAATTCTAATTAAAATGAAAAAATTTATCAAATTTTTATTAAATCAAAATGCTAAAAAAAAATCAAACCATCATCATCAAAGCCATGAGTTAATTCGTGACCCATTACTGTACCTATCGCACCATAATTTGCTGCTCTTTAAAATGTGATTATAATTGATTAACAGCGAAAGGAACTGGAATTTAAACTAAATCTCAAATTAATTTGCCCAAAGATCTCAATACTTCTTTATTACGATGTAAAAATGATTAGTTCGATTAATTTGAAATGGAAATGAACTACTTCTTTGCATTATTAATATAAAATCCAAAGTGGTAAAGAAGTAGGGGTATTATTAATATAAAATTCCTCATCGAGCATTAAACATGAAAATCAATGAAGAAGCAAAGATGGCTGATACAGAAATGTATATTTAATATTTATGGGCTAAAAGAAATTGCTAACTTTGGATAATAGCGATTAAAAAACGGAGGTGTGAGAAAACCAGCTGGTAGTGCTGAAATATTTTACAAAAATTATGCATTTTAAAATATTTTGAAAATTATTATTTTATTAATACGAATTTCTGAGGGAAATAAAAAAGAACTAAGAAAAAACCTATTTTTTAAATTACTGTTAATTACTATAATTTTTTAATCACTATAAATTTTTTAAATTACTATTAATATACAAACATAAAAATGAATTTAACTTACTAAGTGAATTCATCCTAAACGTAAAAAATGCGTTAACAGTGGAAGCGCTTTGTACAAATTCATATTTGTCAAACGGTTTTTTCAGACGTGAAAAATATCTTTCCGCATCCCATGCTACTATTTTCCGTAAAGCTTCAAAATAGGTATCATCCCGTGTTATATTTAACTGGAAATAAGAATTTCCTACTTTAAATATTTCTCTGATATTATATGAGTGAATGTATAATTTTAAAACTAAAACGAAAATAAAATTCATATATTTTTTATCGATTTGGATGATGAGAAAATCGTGCAAAAGACTGGAACTGAAAAATAAATCTAAAATGAAATAAGGACAATTATCAAGTTCAATAAGAATAAGTAAGGAAAGTTACATTAACGAGCTTTTTTTTTGCACTACACTCAAAATATATTTGACAGAAATTATGCACTTAATTCTAGAATTTTGAAAATTATTAATTTAATAATTCGTTATGCAAAATTATAACCACTCTATTATCTTTTTCCAAAAAAAATTTTGTCCTTCTATTACATTCGATTTTGCAGATTGACTTGCAATTAGTTGCATTGTTTCTCAAATAACTATTAAGAACTTTTGATCTGAAAGATCTGAGAAGCTGATAAAGTGGTGATAAGCTTTTCCTTACTACCAAACTTAAAACTAAAATGTATAATTTACATTAATGATCAATTTATTGCGCTTTTTTAATACAAATATTAATAAAAATTATAACCTTTTTGTAATATTCAGTTAATGCTGTATCATTCATTGACATATCATGGTAACCGATTTTATTGATTATTGCAGCAGCCTAAATTTAACAATACAGCAAGCTTACCATAATATGTTCTATACAATGGTATGACAATTAAAAAATTATCAAACTAGTGGAAAGTTAAATGAATTAACGAAAATACATCTTAAAATAAGAAGAATTAAACTAAATGAATTGTCGCTGAAAAAAAAATAATTGGAGGCAAAAGATGAGAACGGATGCAAGTACACGATAAATCAAAGAATTAATTTGTTCTGGATTAAATTTTCAGAGAGAAGCAATTCCTCTTGTTGTGAAAGGATATATATTTTATATTTTTAGATATAATTGTAATAAGGAATATTACTGTGTCTTAATGCACGTTAATACGTGTCAATGATAATGTTTAAACCAAATAACACAGTCAAATGATTCATCGTGTACTCGCATCCCTTTCCATCTTTGCCTCCAATTATTGTATCACACGATCTCCTTTGCTCTCATATCCTCTATTATCTCTCATTTTCCCGCGTTATGATATGCACGTATACTTTGCCTATATAAGACATCAAATCATTCATCTCTGCATTCTTTCTACTTCTTCCGTTAAGGTTATGCGTTTGGTTTATTCTTTGCATCGCTTGTTTCTTGTTTTAATATTG